TTTTACTTGTAATATCCCAAGAGCACAAAAGAGTATAAAGAATATAGGGATCGAGACAAGGGCAAAAGACCAACAAGTTTGGTACCTTCAACGCGGCGCCTGAATACCAGGTTTCTTCATTGCGAGCGTTATTGCTCGCTCGACGACTCTACTCGACCCTTTCGCGTTGCTGAAGCATAAATTCACCTGTACTTTTCGCCTCGTTATGGCTCTATTCATACCATCGTAACTTCACGAGGATTGAAAATCTCCTTTCCCAGATAAAAAAACAAGTATTTGATTTCACAGATAAATCAGTGCTTTCATATATATGTCCTTTTAATCCTATATGTGATACAAAATTATCCCTCTGTTTATAAAAGCGAAAATTAACAGTTACGACATTAAAAAAGAAGAAAAATTTCAATCAAAAAATGCTAATTAAATCTCCCTACATACTTCACTTTATTAGTGTAACAAATAAAAAATTTTAATAGCAAATTAAATGCAATAAAGCCGTAAAAAGGAGAAACTTAATTGGTTTGTGGCCTTTAAAAATATTTTCATATATTGATAAAAACTTTCACTTTTGTAAAAATAAAAGACAATTACAAATTATAAATTGAAAACAAAATATAAACTTTACAATTTTGTTTTTTATCATTTTAAGGGATATTACGGATTATAAATTGCCTGCAAGTCCTTCAGGAGAATACGAGCATTTTCTTTTTCATATATACCAAATTGTTTGTTAACATGCAGATAATGATAAATCGAATCCAAATTTCAATATTCTATACTTCATTTTTTAAAGTATATACAAGGGTCACAGAACAGCAACAAAAATATAGTTTAAAAACGAAAGTTTGATCGATTCCATTCACCTCTTTCCTGTTTCGAACTTCACTCTATAATTGTATGTTACAAGTCAACAAGTTTACTGTTGAAATTGCGAAATCGATTGTACCTAACTACCAGTGTTGTGGTTTATAATGTGTACATTAACGTTTAAAATACATTACACTTTTATATGAGCACGTAATTTAAAAAAAATCACTCACTGAACAATTACAATCTAGTACTCAAAAAAAGAGCCGAAATTATAGAAATTATTCATAACACAAAATTAATTATATATTCGAATTTCCGGTATTGGATTCTTAAAAAAAAATGTGTCATTAAAATGTTTATGATTCATCTGTCAATTGTTATTTGATTTTCTGACTAACATTTATGCACAATGTCAGTGAAAAATTTTGTTACGTATACGAAAAGTTGGAAGTTGAGAAATATATTTTCAAATCGAAAAATTCTGATTTCACAATAATATAGGAACAATATTTTTAGATAATAAATTCAGTATACCATTTTATGACACATTTTTAAAAACAGAATCCCAATGGCCAATAATAAGCCTGTATTGAAATACAATATGTATTCATCAATTTGCAACGTTCACAAGCTATGGTTTTTCAAATGAATTTTGTAATTATACAGATAATTCCACAATTTACATGTAATTACAGCGAGAAATCTTGTGTTTGTGGAAAATTATATGTAATTACTATTATACTAATGGCGATGGCTAATTGGAAAAAGTATTTAACAAGTGCTTATAGTTAGCGATATTTGTACGTCTCTATATTTTTTTCGAATCTATTTTGTAACTTTTTTTTATACATCAGTAGCTCTATAGGGTGTGGCTAAAACGGCTATATATAACACCTTTAACTTGTGATTACGTTTTTCAATATGCAAATCATTTATAGCACACTAAAATTATTACCGCTTAAAAATCAATTTAAAAAAAACCTAATAGTATAATTTAATGTACAGAAATATTTTCAAAAAAAAAAATATTTCAACACATTTTTCTTTCGAGAACTAGCAATTTTGGTTCAATATTAAGTTTTACTATTCCGCCAAAAAAATTTCTCAAAAAAAATCTCAAGTCAATAACATTACAAAAATTACCCAAATAGAAATTTTCAAGAAAGCAATATAATTGAATTTTTCAAAATAAATTCACATGAGTTTTGAAACTTGGAGAGATTTTTCAGAAGATGATGATCATCAAGGTTAGCAAGCCAAGGGAAGTAAACAGGTACGGTCCGAGAGTGAATATACTGGATTGGAAGGCCCAAAGACGGGTTCGTTACGAGGCTATAAATGTGCGTTAAAAAACCATAAGGATGCGCAGCTTAATCACTTAAGAACTAATCGGGCCAAACTCGCGGAACACTGCTCCAGGCCTATCAGAGGAATATGCCATTGACCCTTTCACCAAAATTATCGTTTTCCTTCTCTCTCCCTGCAAATATATAAAATTCATCGAAACTCCCCCATCTCTAATTGATTCCAACAAATATCCAATCAAAATAAATACTAACATAAAAATGCAAAATCAAATTGAAAATCTCTAGAGAAATAAAAAGAAAACATAATAAGTAAAAGTTCAAAGATTAAAGAGAACTCAATTCTTTGAAACATTTCTGCTTTTTGCTTCAAAGTAAACATAATGGAGTATAAAAAGAAGTTCCAAGGATGATATTTCTCTATTACTTCTTCGCTCCTCATCTCTTTATCGACGTCGCACAATATTCAAGTTCCTGGATTTGGTGCGCATCAGCGAAAGGAAATATCATGATATAAGAAACTGCGAGAAAAAAAAATCCGAGAAAAGCGAATCCACACCCCTATATATATATATATACACAGTGAAGCTGACAATCGAGAAGGTCAAGAGAGAAACACTGACTAAAGTATAATCAGGTTCCGACGACTGAGTTCGTGGCCGAGTGTAATAACAGTAATCCCTCTCCCTTTGACTCTGCTGGCAATTTGGCCGTTCGCTCAAAAACTCCAAATTATAGAAGCTGCTGTCATTAGCGAAAAGAACGGCGCTACATTTAGCGAACCGTGGTAAATTTTTTGGAAACAACTCGATCCGCGAAATCTCCGTGCACACCACACTCTCTATACACAATATACCTGTGTTTAAATGTTTTGCAATTAAATAAAAGACGAAACGTAACCTGTCACTCAATACTTTTGAAGAAAAAATTTAATCTCAAGACGCGTTACACTTAATTTATTTCCAGGTTTCAAAAATAAATAACTGATTAGAATTTATATAAATTTAATTTATAGTATATAGAATTGAAGGTAATCCTTTAGAAATACAAATAAATTAGAAATTTCATTGAATTGGAAAAGTTGACTGATTTTTGTTATTGTAACTAATTGTTATTCTTCACTGAATTGTTTGCGCAACGGCATTGGAAGAGTTTTATAGCTTTAGCTCCTCAATAAACAACCCCCTTCTTGCTTCAATTTCTTGCTCTTGTCTTTTAGCCTGGAGCAAAAGCGAGCGACGGACCTACTCACTCCCTATCAGCGACCACTCAAGCGACTCAAAAGACCGCTTAAAACTCCATTAAGCTTGCATCCCAACGAGAAAGAATATATCCCTTGTTACCCATCAGAGGCTTTGAAAATTCACCTCTCGCGGTTGCCTTTCATATTTCTTTCGATTGGTTTGAACGACTGTTTTTCACGAAGCTATAATTTTGCACGTTAGTTAACACCAATCGTTCCTCGAAACGCTATTGGCACAATTTCTATTATTATCGAGGAATTTAATTTTTCATCCCGCCTTCTTTTGAATGTTACCAAAAATAGGATGCAATATCTATATAACAATAATCCTTATATTTTTGGACCACTGTTCTTTTTAGATAATTTTTTGTTTAACATACACACTATATACAGAAATAAATAGAATTCTTCAGTTAAGTTTTACATAACAAAGAATCAGTTTATAACTTTATCTAAATTTGTCTATAAATAAAAAAGTAAATATTTAGAAGTACTTGGTAAGTAAGTGTAAATATAAAGTATAGAAGAAAACTTGCAATGCTTTTAAACCGCAGACTTTACATCTATATGAATAGTTAATGACTATGGAACTATATACTTATATGGAATTACCAATAAAATTAGTAAAATATCATCACTTTCACGATAATAAGTTTCTATTGTATTGAATATTGAACGACAACTTGTTGCACTGTGATTTTTGCATCATGAACAAAGTTAAACTATATGCAAACGTTATAAACTATACATATATACATATTATCATGTAAAGACGCATATTTATCCTAAATGATCTCGTTTAATAAAAAAGAATGTTATTAGATAAGAAAGAAGGCACTAAATGCAAGTGAAACTAAAGACGACAAGACAGTAGGTTATTTTATCAGATATATAAAACATTACTGTATAGTACAACGTTAATATACATTCTTTCTAGACACATTTCAAAGTAATTTATAGTACTTAGATACATAAACTTGTTTAAGTTGTTGTATTTGGAAAAGTGATAAATCATAACGAATGAGAAAGATATACGAGATCAGAGTAAGAGCATATATATAAATATGTGATATAGAATATATATATATATATATATATATATATATATATATATATGTTGCTCAAACGGAAGGTCTATTACATCGTGAGACTGGGAGTATTGTTGAGCCTCCAGTGCACGTTGATGCATCATAATTGTGCATATTTGTATGAGGAGAAAGGATTGCCAGCTACTGGTATTCATTATTCATTGTGGTGATGAAAAGAGTTTCAATCTTTCAGCTCTTGAAGAAAATTGAATTAGTTTCTTTATACACTCTAGATCGTATTTATATATACAGGTTGTTAGCATTGTTGCATACCAATCATATCAAGATGTGTTATAATTAGAGGAAATAGGATTTCCTTTAAATAGGTGAAAACGAAGGACAATGGGGGTGGAAGTGTAGAATAGCTTCTATGGAAACAGTGGATCAAGAAGATTTTATGAACGCGGATAGAAAAAAAATATTAAGCAATACAGATACTCATAGGGTAAATGACTACAAAATCTATCATAAACATCCACCTATTTTCAATCTATTTGCTTTGTCTAGCACTTGCATTTAGCTTCAGAGATATATAGCTTCTTTTGTAAAACTAACCTCTTTCCATTACGGCGTCTTCTCTTTGTAGCATAAACAGTTCCCAGCTGACTCATGGCTACAGGATTGTTGGGACCCGACGGAATTGCCGATGTCGGGGTTGAAGCCGAGGCCGAAGCAGAAGCCGGGGCTGGAGCGGAGGTAGGCGTCATCGTGGGATCAAGTTCCGGGGGTTGTGCGTGAGGGGCGGCTGTTAAAGCAAGCCCAGAAGTTGGAGGATAGCATGCCGAAGCAGCTGCTGCTGCTGCCGCCGCCGCAGCAGCTGCAGCCGTCACAACGTATTCGGATGGCGTCTGCAGGGAACCAGTCGTCGTGCTACCACAAATTCCAACCAGCCCTTGACCACCGCCACTGCTGACGATGCCACCTCCAGGACCTCCGAGGATCCCCAGCCCCGAACTGGTTCTGTCCAGCGCGTACACCGTGCAAATTTTTATGCTCCTTGCAGCACCAAAAGCTGCCTCTTCCTCTGTTAGGTCATTCTCCAAAAACAACTCCGAATAACTCACTGGGTCCTCTGTTCCAAAATTCACAATCACGATATTCTAAACAATCTTCCCTAATAACACTAAAATTGTAACTTTTGTAATCTTTTACTTATTATTCCAGAGTCACACACTAAAAACCAAAATAATCCAAGGTCTCACAATTTCTTCCTTCAAGACAGTCTCACAAATCCAAAATATGTTCCAATTCACTGATGATCATCACTTTTAACTTTTACTTTCTAAACATTCTTAAGGTTCGATACAACCTGGAAGACACAATTTTTTTCACACTATCAAATGTCGTAAAATCCAATCCAGACTCTTAACCCTAATAGAAAATACCAACGGGCGCGGGTGGTAAAGAGTTGGGGTCACTGTGTCTCTTCCTTCGTGACAAGCGTATCGCTTCAAAACCAAAGATCCCTCACGGAAATCGAGCCCTTCTCCTTTCCGCTCACTCCCCTCTCACACAATCGCAATCTTCACCCTTCTCCTTTGCGCGAGTTCACCCCCTCCTTGATGATCTTAAGACACGGACATGCGCTTCCCTCTCTATCTTACTCCCCCTAATTTCTTCACTCCACTTTACTTTTTTACTTTAAATCTCCTTTCTAAAAAAAGCCAATATCACTATTTCCACGTGTCGTCCTTTCCCGCCATAGCATCCGTCACTATAAAATTTATTCCCAATATGATAATCCACAAATATTCCTCCACTATACCAGAAACTTAATACAAAGCCAGTAATGTTTTCCTCCACACCTGATGATGCCGGTTCTTTAATGCACTCTGATCACAATTCGAGGAATGATACCGGCACATTGAGGTGCGGCATAACACGATGCTTACCCTATAGATGCGTGTCGTACACTGGCCCTAAACTCAGTGTTGAATGTTGTTGTGTCACGGTAGGAGAACTGGCTGACTTCGTTATCCAAACCAGTAGAAGGGCGCTGTGGCGGGAGTGGCAAGTCAGTTGGATGAACGAACAGTAGCAGAGACCCCAGGTGGATACCTTCCCTTCCTTTACCCTTCTTTTACTCTCTATAGGAGTGATAGAAAGAGAGAGAGAAGCCTGAAGACGATCGTGGAATACACGGTGGTAGTGGAAAAAGTGAGTGAGAACAAGAAACCGCGACTCCCACTCCCACCACAATTAGCTCCGCCTTCTTTGATCCCATCACACGGTAACCACGCCTCTTTTGGCCATCATTCTGACCAATCACCAAGCCAGTATGGCGCCACCGATTTAACAACGAGACCTCGATACCATCGCACTCCAGGATTCCATCTACATATTCCTGCGACAAGTTGCTCCACATTGCATTTCTCTTTTTCAAGAATTAACTTCACGGAAGATCGTATTAAGCTATCAACCAGAAATTAATCTAATCGCTTAAAAAATTTTCCCGCCATTTATATATTTCTCATTCTATTCCGTGACTTCGTTCCAAATTACAGAATGCTACTGGAAAAATATATATATATATTGAGAAATCTATAAGCAATCATAGGGTAGGGTGCTGAGAATAGACGTCCATGAACTTGAAAGTCGAGAGGTCGAGATGATTTAACCAAAGAAGAAGATTAAGGAGGATGTAAATGAAAGAGGAAAAAAATTAGAAGAGATCGAGGAACATTAAATGAATAATATAAAATACCTAATGGGAATAATTGACAAGAGCAAATCAATATTGGTCCAATATTTAGCAAAACATGTTAGCTTTGGAAGTTATAATTATTATAGCTGTATTAGGTAATACTCTACAAAAAATTGCAAGAGTTCACTACTGGCGCCGTACTGGTACCGCAGTAGTCAATTTTTTTTAGGGTAATGATTGCTATCCATATAATAGCAATTGGGGTTAGCTAAATTCGTCGCACTGCATTACACTGATGGTGAATTTTTAATTGCACTAATAATAATAATTGGATCCAATAATTTTTAACTTCTCTAAATTCGAATCAGCGATACGTCGCTAATTTGTAGCTATAAGTATGCAGCTGATTCAAACAGCGTATATACACTGATGAAATAGTGTATAAGCGCTAATTATCAATTATACGCTGCGCTTGAATCAACTGCATTCCGCTGATTCAAATTTAGAGAGTAGCTAAATTTTTGAAAACCGTAATTGTTTTCAAAAAAAACTTAATCGACGAATCAACTCAATTTTTTACATATAGAAAAATAATTTATTTGATTCAAATAATCGGTTTACTTGATCATTATCAAATAAATATTTATTTCATAACCAAATAATTTTTGAGTCAATTAAATGGTATTTAAAAATAAAAATTATTTTGTTCAAGTAAATATTTATCCGATAATAGTCAAGTACACGATTATTTAAATAAAATAAATTTTTTTCCAGTGTATTTTTAAACTTTTTTTATATACGAGAGATTCTTTTTCAATCGCCCCAGCCCAAAAAGTCGATGTTCTTGGATTGGCTTTATACTTTGGTAAATTGTTGTCCTATATCACAGTAATAAATCCCCAAAATATAAACTCATTAAAAAAATATTTGTAGAAAGTAGAGGGGGTTGAAGTTTTGACGTTAAGGGTAACATTGTCATTTTCAAATCCGTATAACTATGACAAAAGTTAATGAATTTTAATTTATATATAATGAATTTTAATGCATTTTTCACGTACTTTTCAAAAATGTATACGAAAATTAAAAAAAAAAATTTTTAACCCCTTTTTTTTCAAAATCAACCCTTATTTTTCGATTTTCACCCCTTCGGGTATTTTTTTTTTTTTTTTTTTTATTTTTATTGGAAAGCTGAGGTTTTTTCCTATGAGCTATGTAAATATGAAAATGGGACAACAATAATTTTGTGAGAAACAGAATATTAAAGTAGGCGGTGCACCCGCGCTATCGACGCAAAGATGAGTACCCATCGTTGTACGCACTTATATTATTCCTGTTTACTTCAGTAAATATATATAGTCGAATTTTTCGTTAATTTTGAAAAATTTATAAATTGTTATAAACAAATGCAAAAATTTTTTTTTAACATTCGAGATTAGTTGCATTGTATTTTTAGGACCTTAAACTATAAGAAACCATTATAAAAAAAATTGATTTTTTGTTCGATAACATCGTTTTCTCAGACCCGGTCACATATATGCTTTTATTTAAAAAATATTTATATTTTTGTTTAAATTAAATAATTATGTAAATTAATCAATCAATAATTATACACTTGAATTATTTCTTTAATCAAGCTGCCTATTAAATATTATTATTAATTTACTCTTTTCAAATGTTCTCTTGTTTTCAAATTTTTCCCGCGTGTTAGTTAGTTTGCTGTCTTTTCGCTAGATGGCTTACGGCTTTTTAGTAACTCGCAACTAAGACTGATCGCTGCACATATAAAAGGGCTGACTATATTCAAATAATTTTCTTCCTCAATTTATTTTGAGAATATTGTGTTCAAGGTAAGTATTTTCGAGGTAAGTATTTTAGAGTTTAATTAACGTTTTATTTTTCAATTCGAGATTTTAAGTATAATTTACTTAAAATTATTATTTTCGATAAAATGGCAAAAGCCAAAGAAAGCTCCAAACTTGTTTGGAGAAATGAATGTGTAAATCCTTTAGGAAAAGAAAAACACAAATCAAATGATTTACGTCGCGTTTCAAATTATTTAAGAGAAAAATTTTCGACATTACCGGAAGATTCAAAAATTTGTTCTAAGTGTAGAAAAGAGATTTATAAATTAAAAACTACTCAAGATGATTTAAATTCAAAATTAAATTCTTCTGTTTCTAATATTGATTTTTCTGATCTTATTGCCTCTAATATTGAATCTTCTGATGCTGAAATTGACGAGCTGGATGATGATAAAGATGTTGATTTTGTGTCAGTTATGCCACAAAATTCTTCATTACCCCAATGTGATGACTTAAATCATAAAGCAGCTGTTGAAGTTTTAGAAGCAATTATTGAGAAATTTAAAATATCTCCTAATAGATCTGAAAGAATTCAACTTCTCACACTTGCACCAAAGTCATTGGGCAGAAAAAAAATTATGTCAATGTTTGGTGCATCCGAACGCAGCGTTAGGATTGCAAAAAAGTTGGTTTCAGAGCAAGGGATTCTAGCACTTCCTGCTCCAAGGAAAGGAAAACCTTTGGATTCTGACGTTGAAAAACTTGTAAAACAGTTTTATCAACAAGACGATAATAGTCGCTTATTAGCAGGGATGAAGGATTTTGTATCGATTCGTAAAAGTGATGGGAGTCGGGAGCATGTCCAAAAAAGATTGGTACTCTGTAATCTTAAAGAGTTGTACTCTCTTTTTAAAAGTGAACATAAAGAAGTTGAGATATGCTTTTCAAAATTTGCTCAGTTGAGGCCTGCAAATTGCGTTTTAGCTGGAAGCAGCGGAACTCATACAGTATGCGTTTGCGTGTATCATGAAAATGTGAGACTAATGATAGAAAGTATTGGCATTCAAGCTTTAATAAACGATTCACAGGTAAATGTTGAAAATTATAGCGATTGCATCAATCTCCTAATCTGTTCGCATCCAACAAGTAGTTGTTATTTAGGAGGCTGTGAATTCTGTCCTGGTGAGTCAAAAGTTGAAGAAAATTTAATTAAATATTTCGAGGAAAATGAAATTGACGAAATTAAATTTGATTCCTGGACGCAAACAGATAGGTGTGCTTTAAATACCATCATTTTAAGTACAGACGATTTTGTAAACGAACTTTGCCAAAAATTGATGAAACTGAAGTCACACCATTTTATTGCAAAAGAGCAATCATCGTTCATGAAAAGTTTGAAAAATTCTCTGCAAAAGGATGAATTTCTCATTACTTGTGACTTTGCAGAGAATTATGCTTTTGTTTTACAAAATTCTGCTCAGTCTTTCCATTGGAATAACGACCAAGCCACTATTTTCACAGTGGTGATTTATTATAAAGAATTTGAGAAACTGGAGCACAAAAGTATTGTAATAATATCTGACAATTTGACTCATGATACTGCTGCCGTTTATGTTTATCAAAATATAATAATAGATTATTTAAAAACTAATTTTCATCCTAAGAAGTTGTACTACTTTACGGATGGTGCTGGGCAACATTTCAAAAATAAAAATAATTTCGCCAATCTTTTGGCTCACCTGGCAGATTTTGGAATAGTAGCTGAATGGCATTTCCATGCTACAGCTCATGGCAAGGGTCCTTGTGACGGGGTTGGAGCAAGTATAAAAAGAAATGCTGCACGATACAGCCTCCAATGCTCCTCTGAAAATCGAATTTTGACTGCAAAAGCCCTTTTTGATTATACAAAAATATATTGCAAAGAAACCGTAACTTTCTACAGCAGTAAAGACGCTCATCTTGAGGCTACTCAAAATTTAAAAAGAAGATTCGACGATGCTCAAACCGTACCAGGTACACTACAATATCATTCTTTTGCAGTCACAGAAGATAATAAGTTACAATTAAAAAAATTTTCCACGGCATTGGAGTGTCATTATTTTACTAAAAAAACAAAAAAAATTCCTGCACGCGTTTCTCAACAAAAAATAAGCAACAAAAAAAGCAATAAAAAATCTAAAAAGTAATCAAATATCCTTCATTTCAACATAATTCAAATAATAAACATCCTTTTATTAGATTAAAAATAATTTTTTCTAAATTAATCCCAAAATAATATTTAAACCAGATTATATCCAATAGTTCATTTAAATTAATAATTTCATACCTATTAAAAACATGTTCTCTTTTTATTAATTTTTAATTTATCATTTTTCAAAATTTAAATTTCTTTCAGTAATAGTAATGCAGGCATTATTTTATGGACAGTCTCAACCCTGTAGAATGCAGAGAGCTGTTACTGAAGTAAACAGGAATAATATAAGTGCGTACAACGATGGGTACTCATCTTTGCGTCGATAGCGCGGGTGCACCGCCTACTTTAATATTCTGTTTCTCACAAAATTATTGTTGTCCCATTTTCATATTTACATAGCTCATAGG